GAAAATTAGCAAATAAATAATTTTTAAAAGTTACATGAATAGCTATATGAAAAGGGCCTCTCAGTAAATTGCAAACAGACTCATACGAAAACGTCATATTGTAAAATTTCAGGATATCAGAGCTAAAGGGATTAATAATAATTTTTTCAATGCTTTCAGAGAGAAAAACAATGCCCTACACAAAGGAACTTAGATCAAAATGACAGTGGATTTTTCAATAGCTATACTGGATACCAGAAAACAACAGGGCAACAGCCTTAAAATGCTGAAGTAAAGTTATTTAGAACTTTGAAGTGTATACCCAGCCAACCTACAGTCAAGCATCAGAGTAAAAGGAAGGCACTTCAGTAAAAACAAAGTCTCAAAGACTGACCTCACATGAACTCTTTCTTAAAAACATGTAAAGGATGTTTTCTATAGAAGTAAGGAAAATTATCAAGAGAGTAAACAACTCTGAAAGTGTGGGAATTCAATGAGAAAGCAGTCGATGAAACTCCTGTTGAAGAGAAGCCCTCGTTACTTTGATAGTTGTGGAGAAAGCCTCAAGGCCAACTGCATGGAATGGGGCAGGGGCTCCAATAGTTCTGGGTGGGGCAGGGAGTCTTCAGGAAAAAACATGGAGTTGACAGACTACCTGAAATGTCTTACAGCAAGTTATAAGAGAGAAAAAAAGAAGCAAGTAATAAATTCAATGTGGGGGAACACCATGTGCAAGTTAGAAATGAAAGTAAAATAACAAGGTGAAGGGGGCTTTAAATAAATAGGTCTGAAATGAGCAGGGGATGGAACTAATATGGAGTCTAGGTATGTTAACCTATGTGCATGTGTGTGGGTCATGCATTTAGATGGACAAGTGCACAGGCACATATGAGCAGTGTGCGTCACTGGAGAAAGAAGTGAGGACAGTGGAAGGAGGAAGGATATACTGTATTCAGAGGCTCCTTTTTGGAAATGTCTTTTGGGTGTCTTGGGGTATTTTTGTTATGTTTTGTTTTGTTTTGTTTTTGCTTTCTGGTTTGTTGCAAGGTCAGAGGTCACTTATAATTCTGTGGTGCACTCCATGTTCCCGGGAGCTGGAATTTCCCCGAGCGCAGCACTTACACAGTGCAGCCCCGACGAGGGCTGGAGGAGTTTGGCGACTGTGAATCCTACTGCTCTGAAAGGGTTTCCTGGAGCCCATAGTATAACCCTTGTGCAGAGGTTTGTTGTCACTTCCTGCAGCTGAGCAGTGTAAAGTAGACAAGTCAAATCCATCTCAGATGCTACCTTTTAAAGCCTCCTCAGGGTGCTTCCACCGGTTAAAAGGGTTTCAGCAAAGAGAACACAAGACAGGGAGGCTTCCTGCTGATTGTGAGGAAAGAGATGACTCTGTCTTTTAAAATCTGGGTGGAAGCAGCCATGGGAAAGCTATTCTGCAAAAAGTTTTGCTCTTTTCTTACTCCCTTGACTATTATTACTAATTATTATTCTTTGTATTATTTTGTGGGACACCAAAAAACATACATATTAAAAGTAGTCTTTGTTTCACACAGCATAGTTTTATAGGAATGACAGAGATGTCACCAGAGTGGAGGTTGGGTAGCAGCCTCACCAAAAAAACCCTCAGATATGTCAAAGACATTGGCCTACAGATGACTCCAGAACTCTAAGGAGGGTCCCAAAAGGGTGTAGCAATTGGGCAGAGGACCTTAGAGCCTGGGCTCAGAGATCTGTGTTCGGGTCAGGTCCTGGCTGCCTGTGCCTCGGTTTCCTCATCTGTAAAGTAGAACTAATCACTCATGCCACAGGATTATTTCAAAGTTAATGTATACAAAAGATTTTCTAATATAAAAATTATAAAAATGTAATTTATTAATATTACAATTCATATAACAACACATTTTATAATATATAATTAGTATGATATGTGATAGATAATTATTATGATTTATTCTATTGCAGAATGTGTTTAATAGATAACAAATTCTTTCCATTTTTCATAGTTACTTTGATGCATTGTTTCCAACATGTAGACAATTAAACTGTAGCTGATATATAGCTGCAATCACTAAGGTGACAGTTCTTGAATTATGCATTTAGTGCAAAGACCAATTACTCAGCGAGGCAGTTGCTGAGTAGTGAACTGAGCACTGGGTGTTCTCAGGATCCAGGACTAGTCACCTTGACTCTGTCACTCCTCGTTGTGCACCTGGTCAGGTCATATCCCCTTTCTGAGCCCAAGTCTTAGCAGCTGTCCCGGGAAGAAGTCAGATGAATGATCTCTATGGTTCTTTGCCAGAAATTTTCTCTGAGAAATTTCCTGTCAAGATCCTTCTCTCAGAAATTGTTTCTCATGCGTAGCAGTGGTGTTAGTTGTCTACCACAGAACAAATCACCCCGAACTTAGCAACTTCAGCAACATTTTGGGTCTCACAGTTTCTGTGGGTCAGGAATCTAGGCTCAGCTTAGCTGGCCTCTGACCCAGGGCCTCTCCAGCCTTCAGGCAAGCTCTTGGCCAGGGCTGCAGTCTTCCCAGGGCTCAGCAGGGACAGGATGCACTCCCAAGCTCACTCAGGTGACTGTTGACAGAATTCAGTTCCTCCAGCTTTGTGGGACTGAGGGCTTCCGGTCCCAGCTGGCTGTGGGTCAGAGACACACATTCCTAGCTACAATACATGGCCTTCTCCACAGGACTACGCATAACCAGGCACAAGACATTCCCCAGAGTGAGAGCTCCGAGAGAGAAGAGAGGGGGGAAATGGGGACAGAGGGACAGGGGGAGAGAAAATGTGCTCAGAATAGAAGGAAGTCACAGTCTTTTTGTTAACCAGATCTCGAAAGCGACGACCAGTTGCTTCTGCCAAATTCTATTCATTAGAGGCAAGTCAGTAAGTCTAGTTCACATTCAGGGGTAGGGGTTACCCAAGGGCATGTGTAATGAGAGGCAGGGATCTGTGGGACATGTTAGAGTCTGCAACTATAGCAACTAAGGGAGATCATCAGGGACTTGACTCATAATTGGAATCATCTGACACTATTTATCCATTGGTACACTCATGCAACAAACATTATCCATTGCCTTCCATGACAATGCCTTACATTATATGCTCTGGGATAGCAGAGACTCCACCTAAGAAATTCCTTGTTCCCATCTATATACATCTCCTCTCAGTACAGTGAGGGTGGGAGGCTGTTGGAATCACCTGAAGGTACTTTTCAACTATGTGTTCTCAGCGCTCCACCCACACTGATTCTAATAAGCTTCCCTTGTTAAGAACTGCTAATAAGAGAAAGGTTAAAACTGGTACTCAAAGAACTATAGGATAAAGTGGAAACAGGGAAGAGCTGTAAGAGGCTTCTCCTGCCTCCAGACCCAGAAGTGCTGCTCCTGGGGGGCTGCCCCTGAGAGATGTTATTGGAAGAAGCAAACGCTGTGAATGTAATGAAGTTCCAGTAAGGAACCAAAAGGTGGTTACTTCAACACCAAACTTCTAGCACCTTCCCTATTTTATTTTCTTCTTTTATTATTTTCCGTGCCCGTTTTCCCCACCAGATGGCAAACTTCTTCGAGGGTGAGTCTCTGTCATATTTACATACCTCCCCATCCTCTCTCCCTCCCTGACAAGAGCCCCCTTTCTAGTCAGTCTCCCCCTTCAATGTACTTAGTTTAATGTTTGTCATTGGAACTTGTTCCATAAATTGTTGTTAACTTAAAAAGTAAAATGAAAAGGAGATTTGAGAAGTAATATACTCAACTGAGAATATTATTGGAAGTCTCTCCAAGAAAAGACATGAAGTTTATACTTGGTTTCCTTCAAAATTCATTTTGCCAGCCAAGTTGTGCCATAAATTCCCATATTGGAAAGTAAGCTCCTTGTTTAAAATGCAGCAGGGTCTGAGGGGGACAGCATCCATGGCCCTTGAAATTTTCTGCCCCCGCTTTATCTTCCTTGATGCCAAGACCCAAGAGAAAAATGGTGTCTTCATCAGATACTGATACATGTTAGCAGTCAGCCAGGCACAAATGTCCCTGGGTGGGCTAAATAGTATTCCCCCAAAATTAATGTGCCCTCAGAGCCTCAGAATGTGACCTTTTTTGAAAACAGGATCTTTGCAGATATAATTAAAGTGATCCAATGACTGGAGTCCAACCCACGGACAGGCATCCTTATAAGAGGAGAGGGGGACACGAAGACGTAAAGAAGGCCATGTGAAGTCACAGTCAGAGACTGGAGTTATGTGGCCACAAGTCAAGGAAAGCCTGGAGCCAAAGCTGAGAGAAGCCAGGAGGGGTTCTCCCCAGAGCCTTTGGACAGAGTGTAGCCCTGACGACACCTTGATCTCCGTCTTCTGGCCTCCGGATCTGTGAGAAAAGAAATCCCCTCTGCTTTAAGCCACCAAGTTGTGGTAATTTATTACAGCAGCCATAGAAGAATACTAAGTTTTCAAGTCCTCCTGTACCCTAGATGGATCATTTTCTGCTTTGGGCACATTGTCCAACACAAGAAAAGAAGCAACGAAAAGGGAAGTTTCTGACGGGCTTTGGTTTTCTGGCCAAAGGTGTGCCTGGCTGTACAGTGTCCCATTGCTCCTCAGAAGGCGTCACCTCAGACCAATGTGCAAGACTCTTTAGAGGGTTCTAAAGAGTCAGACAGCAAAGTAAGACCATGGGGCCAACATGCTCCAAATAGACCTAGAGTGTTATAGGAGGTGAGAGAATGCTTCCTTCCGAAATTGAAAAATCAGCAAATTCTTCAAGGCACTGGCTATGGATGTGATCTCTTTAGAGGTGTGGAGGAGGAGGCTGTTTGGGGAAGGGTGTGGAGGAGTTAGGATCTGTCTAGATGGGGCATCAAGGGGAGCGAGGAGAGGCAGACAGTGACGGTGCTGGTTAGGCACATAGACCTTGGTGTTAGATCAGCTCTGGCTTTGAATCCCTACCTTGTTTCTTATCAGCCATGTGATCTTCAGTCACTCTAAAACTTCCCATTCTCCAAATTTGGGAAAGTAACAGTACCTACCTTATATTGTTATTGTGAGAGTCGATGCAACAATGTTCAAAGAACATAGAATTATGTGCTTCACAAATGGTCCTTATTATCACTGTTATTGTAAGCTGGGACACATCAGCAGCAAACTGGAACTCTCCTGGTATCCCTGGGCAAGGGAAAACGTGTTTGATTGGATTGGAGGATTCTGCAGGGCCCCGGTCCCTTTTAGGCTCACTAATGACACTTCCTTTCTTTGGACCTTAAACTGTTCCCTTGAAATTCAATTAGCTGAAGTACAAATGTATATTTATTTTTGTAAGACTAAAATTCTGCAATAATTGATGATTTGGAAAGCTATTCATTTTATATAAAAAACAATTATTAGAACTTTCAGATAGGGAAATAGAGACAGTCATTTTAACGAGAGAATAATTTAGCTAGCTTATTTTAGGAAGAAAATAATTTTACTTTTGAGCCAAAATGTTGCAAAAATTAAAATATAAATACAGCAGACTATATTGTTGCATTGTCCAATTCTGGAAGCCACTAGGCACATGTGGTTATTAAAAACTTGAAATGTGGCTAGTCTGAACTGAAATGTAATTGTAAAATTCACTCCAGAGTTTAAAGACGGGATTAAAAAAGAATTTAAAATATCTCATTAATAACTTTTATACTGGCTACATGTTAAAATGATAATATTTTTGATATGTTGGCTTAAATGAAATGTTACTAAAATTAATTTCATTTTTCTTTTGACTTTTTAACATGGCTATTAGAAAATTTGCATTGCATTTCCCATTTTACCTCTATTGGATATCTTTGCACTAGACAATGAGAGTCAGAAGCTCCTTCATTTATTCATTCATACATTTATTCTACCATTATCCATCCTTTGAACTGGGATTGCTGAGATAAACATGCAGTCTTTGTCCGCATGACAGGGTGTTTAGAGTTACTGAATTAAGGCAGGATGTGTGGGGCCAGCACGCCCTGATACCTGTGTGCTGCGCTGAGCGAGTCGCTGCTGACACTATCCATAGTCTACACCCAGCCGCGGCAGGCCTCACCCTGCTCTTTGCTTCTCATTTTCCTCTTGATCACAGCCATTCCTTCCTTTGACCCCCTTCTTGACCACTGCCTCTCCCAGGGCCCGCAGGCACTTGGCACTCAAGTGTGCACACACAGGACCATACCCAGAACTCACCTCTGTCTTTCTCTAAACTGCTCCCAGAGACTAGTGCTTCTGGAATCTTTACTAAAAAGTAGCAGAGTTCTTTGTTTGAAAGACATGAATAATTCCCTGCCTCCTTCTCCCTTCCCCTCACCCCCTTTTCTTTCCTCTGCCCCTATACTTTAAAAGAGTCCATCATCTTCCAGTGATAATGACATCAGTGTCTAAAAACAGAACATCATGCAAGGAAGTGACTTTTAATACCTGGATCTTCCCCGCTGTAGTTTTGTCTCTATCTTGTAATTCTTCTCACAATGGAAAAAAGAGTCTCCCTATCAAGCTATAGGTATTCCCTTGTGATCACAAGTAATTAATGAATTAAGTCTTTCTCCTTTTTTTCATATAAAATAAGTATAATTTTTAAAATATTTCTTTGCTGTTTGGTTGTTTAATTTTGCTTTCTTACATCTTCACCTTATTCTGCTTAGGTTTTGAGATACTAAATTATTTCATATAATTTCAAGGTGCTCATTTTCTAAAATTTGTTTATGTTGGTCTTGTCAGAGTCTTCATGCTCCCCCCACAAAAGGCTTGGCATTCCATTAAATAAATGAAAAGAGTGTTTTAAAGTATTGCACGTTAGAGTAGGAAACAACCTTTGATCCCACTTTTTATATTTTTCTCTATCCTCACTCAGCATTTCCCATCACAGGGCTGCATTATTGATTCACGGTCAACTTCCCCCATCCCTGCCTGTCATTCTTATATTATCTACAATTCCCCACAGAGCATTTTTGTCACTGTCTTTCCTATTATCCTGAAGTTTTTCAACTTGGATTTCATTCTATTTGCTTTAAAACTGGCAAAGAAAAAATATTAAGAATGGTTCTTTTTAGGTTGTAAGTATAATTGTATAAAATGGGATCTTTAGTCTTTTTTTTTTTTTTTAGCTTATCTTATTCCACAAAGTGAAAAGTGCACCTGCCACTTAAACCATAATTCTTCTGGCAGTGGTTTCTTGGTTGGAATCAAATTCCTTCCTTGGCCTTCAAAAATAGCAAATACATCAACAATGTTATTTCATTCTACATAATGAATTATGGAATACCCATAATATTTCTTGGCCCTGAAGATTTCTCAATGTTTGCAGGATATAGTTTTAGCAAACTATTATTTCCAGATAATTCAGCTAAAGATACTTAAAGGGCATGTGAATCTGGAGTCAGAAAAAGCCATTGCTGTATACTATTTTTATTTTTAGCATGTGGATAAGTTAGCCCAATTTTTTTATTAGAGCTTACTGTATTTTACCATGACTAAAAATAAAATTTATAATTAAAATAACTTTGGCTAGTTGATAAGAGCTTTTCAATCAGAAGCTTAATTACATAAATACTAAAATCATATATAAAATAAAAATAAATTTAAGAAAATAAAATGAAAAATAAATGAAACACAAGACTTTAAGTCTTTGAATAACCTTTATTGGAATGCCCTAACCCCATACCCCCCAACAAATTGCACTTGCATTATAGAAAATGCAACCATTTGGGTAAAGACACAAAGAAATAAAATTATTTTGAGGTTTTTTATTATTTTTATTTCCTCAAATCTTTCTAATGTTTGAGAATGTTCCTTGTTCATATTTCTACTTTTCAATAGTAACCTGCTCTTTTTTTATGGGTGCCATATTGTCTCAATAGTCAATGTAGATGATACTTGGATTTCTATTTATTCTCCAAATGTCCACCATTAATTTTCTTTCCCTGGAGCAATTACACTGATTGTCCAGCTAGATCTCCTGTACCAGCTTCTGATTCTCCTCAAATGCCTTCTAATTTTTCCAGTGATTGTGCATATGTATAGGTTTCAGCGCCAGTAGCTGGTATTGATTAGATATCAATCAGAAGTGTGACTTCTGCTGACTGTGGAAGTCACACTGGTTAACGTGTCCTGGCTGGCCTGTGCCAGATGTTATTTCCATAGGAATATAGGGCCTCCCTCACCTCGCTCACTGCCTCCCCAAGCAGATAAGATTGGGATCAGATCACACATCCCACTCTACATCATGGCTCTGCTCCTGCCAACTTCCACAGAATTCTGATATGAAATCAGGGGATACATAATTTGCTGCACAAGGTGGGAGCAGATGCATCCAATCTAACAAGCTATTAATTTACCACCATCACCCTCCCCCACACTGTGACTTGTGAGAGTCCCAGAAAAACAGATCTGCCAGGGCGCCATAAATGCAAATATATCACCAGCTGTGCTTTTAAAGAGAAACTAGAAACTCAACTACTAGGTAGAGATACTACAGTATTTGACTCAACCTCACACTTTCCAGTCGCAATACTCCCCTGTGCGGCACAATTAATTGGCACCAGAAACTCAAAAGAAAAATGTGTACTTGTCAAGAAGTCCTTTATGCCTCAACCTCTAGTGAGATTATACCAAGAACACGGGTGAAAACAGTTGCTGCCAAAGATAAATTTAAGATGATGTCAACATGAAATTCTGTATCACACGGAGATGAGAAATAGTTACATGAACAAATAATTTTATCAAAATGCCAGCAAACACCCAGGAGACTATCCTATGCACTTTTCAACTGTATTTTTGTCAAATGTACAAAGAGCTTATGTCCCAAATCTTTCTTTCCCACCCTCATATCTGTCTTCTCTCTGAAGGTACCCTGCATTACCTTTTATTGTACTGTTAACCTCACTCCACTTCCCCTTGATCTCTGTTCCCATTTTGATCCTAGCTTTTGAAGAAACTTAAAGCAAAGCTTGCTTTGACCTGGTGGGCCCATGGCTTAGGAAGTTGACACACTTGGGTTTCCACAGTGGCTCCATCCCTCACAAACTGCATGACTTTAGGACATTACCTGACCTCTTTCGTCCTCAGTTTCCTCACCTATAAAATGCTCATGAGAATGCCTAAAGTATGGGCAAAACATTGCCAAAGTATCAAGAATAGGGACCCAATTAGAGATGAGAAGAGTATGAATCCTCTAGTTTTTCGCTGGAGCCTTTAGAAATTTGAGAATTCCAGAAGTTTCTTTCATGTACAATACCCTGCGTGGGTGCTCAGAGGAACACAAACCTCCCGCGTTATCACATACCTGCTCTCAAGGTGGGCACATAGGCCCAGGCTGATCAAAATGGAGCTCTGAATAGGTGTGGAATAAAAGTTCCTTTTGCAGAGATAGCTTTCTCTCCTGGAGACAGTGCTGAAGCTTAATCCCAAATCTTTTTTTGTATTCCTCTGCCAGTGGCTAGGGCAGGTGGCAATTTCGTTGAGCTCTGAAAACCAGTTAATCCTCATCTGGAAGATATTCAAGGTCGCTTCACCCCATTGCCCAGGCTCCTCTCTTGGGTACATGAACATTCAAGGATATCTTCTTCCAGTTCTGAAAACTCCTGGCTGTGGAACACACCAGGGCCTCCTTTGCCACAGCGGAAAATTCCAGTGATGTTTTTAAATTAGAATCCAATTTACCAGCTTGGATTTCTGACCTTTACTCTAAGAAGTTTCCATGCAAAACTAATTCAGGTTCTTTGTGGGGCAGGGACCAGTAGGGGTTTACAGGTTTCCTTATTTTTATTGTACTACTTCTGATTTTTAATTTAATATTGATAGTACTGAAATGAAACGCACATTCATGCTCAGAACATGAGATTAATAAAACTCCAATAAGGTAAAGATTAACATTAACTTTTACTAATTACCTTCCTCCTACTTTTGTGACTCTAAGGAATGTTTTTCTGCAGTACCCTTTCCTATCAAATCAGGACCCTTCCACCAGGTTAAAATCTGGACCTAAATATAGGTTCCAAATTCTCCCAGTGTCAGTATTTAGGAGAGTCTTTCCTCAACTCACATTTGTGAGAGGACAGGCGACTTCAGGAAAGTAGATATTTGTTCCTAGGTGGCTGACCTGACAGAGTTAGAAGAAAAAGCATGAGAGAGATCATGAGACAACCACTGTCCCCCAAGTTACCTCCAGTCCTGACGGCTCTTTGTATCCATTAAAGTCCAGTGCACACGTGCTTTACTCCCTGTGGCAAAGTCAGTCATGCTCTATGCTAATAGAACCAAATGTTCTCTGGACTCCTCTATACTTCCTAGCCATTTCCAATTAGGCATAGCCATGTGACCGGGTGTGTCAATGGGCTGTGAGCAGATAGGTGATGAGGTGTGTCACTTCTGTGGGGGGACAGTGAAAAGCCCATGAGAGGGCCTCCTTTCTCTCCCTCCCTGCTTCAGTGGCCCATGGCATTCTAACCTTCCAGATAGCAGCCTCTCGTCAGCCAGAGACTCTGACAACAAACAGCAGAGTCCAACCACCACCATGACTTCAGTTCACAATGGATTTGTCACGTGCACAAAGGATAAATGTTTGGGATTTCAGGTTGTTTAGTTATCATGGCATAACCTAGCCCATCTACCCAATACGTTCTAAAGCCCAAACCCTTGTTCCTACCCCAAACTAGGGGAATATTTGTTTTCATAGCCCAGAAGTCTAGGCTACCTGTCTCCATGTGAGATAACACTCACAACATTGCAGAAATAACATGTGACCAAAATGTGTATTGTGTGTGTGTGTTTATTGTTGAAAATGTTCACAAAGATTATCTCTGGATAGTAAAACTAAGGGTAAATTTTATTTCTGTTCTTTATATTATCTTTCTGTATTTATCCAGTTTTCCTCAATGTACATTTCTTTTATAAACAGAAGATAATCCTAACATTTTTTTTAAGTAATCTGTTGCATTGATATCAGCAACCCATATTAGGACAGATAAGCATTAAAAACTATGGTCCTTTATTGCTACAAACACAGTTTGCTGACCCCCGCTTGCCCCTGGGTTCTGCCTCATGCATCCCTGTGTGTGCTCATGGAAGTCACCCATGGCCCTCGTGTGGGTGCGGGCTGTCATCACTCTCACTGTATGTCACACATTTTGCTCTCACCCTGCACTAGACCACAGGCTCCTTGAGGAAGGGCCAAGATCATGTTGAAACAAAATGTCAACAGGGCTGTGCTCCCCACCCTAGACTCAGGGCGGGGGCGGGGAGGGGGAAGTCTGTCCCACACCTCTCTCCTGGTTTCTGGCAATGACTGGCATTTCTTTGCTTGTAGTCACATTGCTCCAATCTCTACCTCTATCTTCACATTGCCGTGTCTTATAAGGACACACGTGGTTATATTTAGATTCTACTCACTTCATCCAGGAAAACTCTCAAAATCCTAGATTTAATCACACCTTAACCATATAAGGTAATATTCAAGGTTATATGAACTTATATTTTGGAGGTCACCATTGAGCCCCACTATGTCTAGCATAAGATGATATTAATATTCCATAATATTTGTTAAATGGATTCATAAATTATAAATACAGCTCAACCCTTCTATGAAGTCTGACTTATTCCTCCCAGACATGATTAGCAACATCTTATCTACTCCAAATTTACTATGCCTGATCTTTTCATCACACACTAGGGAAAAAAAGAGGTGTATTTGGACCTGAACCTGTGGTCTTTAATCGGCTAATATACTTTTTGGCACTGCTGTTTTGGGAGGAGAAAGGTTTTGTTTCCTTTGTCCAGTTGGTTGTTTAATAAAGTCAGTAGAATGCTGAGCAAATCTGCATGGGGTCTTCGACCCTTTCTCTCAAGGCTGATGGGAGGATTAATCTCTATCGGTGATACTTCTTTCTTTTGCAGACCAGTCAGCGGGAGCTCTCAGTCTAGAGTGAATCTCACCAGATGGAAGGCTGGAGGTCCAGGCACTGCCTAACATAGAATCCACATTGTAATTATTAGTCACATTAGAGAATAAGAGTCATTGAGTGGCCTGTTATGGAAATCAGGATAAGGATAACTAATGGGGGAAAGAATGTATCCTTTAGTTAACATGAACACCATTCTCCTTTTAGAGGAATCGGAGATAACCCAGTACTGTGACACCTTTTCTTCTTTAGAGGACCTTGCATCCCCTCAGGCATTGTCCAAGATCTGCATTTCCAGTCAATCCTATTCCCTGTATAATGTTAATTTTATCAAATGAAACCACAGATTGGATTTAAGACATACCTCTCCTTGTATCAAATCTCAAATTCTGTATTAGTGAGAATTCTCATCATCTTTGAAACATAGTAAAGTCATAAATTATGAAAGAAAGCCTTTGCAAGTGCACAGAACTTGGAGCCCACTCTTCCCCTGTAACTTTCAGTTGAGAACAGAATTGCCAAATATAGAGTGCTGGCATTTGACAAGCCTACCTGCGCCCTCCTTGTCCGAACAGACACGACACAAACACACATTTATTGCTGACGCAAGTGCACCCCGAGGAGTTGCCACGTTTAGAGAGCAAAGCGAAGGTCAGCACTTCTACTGTCAGCGAGACCACTGAGGGCCAACAGGAGCAAAATGACCTTCTAGCAAGGAGGCGCCCAGAAGGAGCTACAGTGCTCCTGTGTGATGCGACAGCCAGGGCTGTGCAGAGACCCAGGGGACACAGGACAGGGAAGAAAGGACCTGGCAGAAGCACAAGGATGCTCCCCAGTAAATGCGCCTGTCCCTTACGTTACCAGGCTGGCCCTGGCTGCTACCCATTGTGGAAAGCACCTCATGCCATTACATGCAACACTGGCCCACGTTTCCCTGAGTCTCTTTGATTTTCATTGGTTACTTTAGCATTTGCTCTCCTGCACGCACTTACTTTTTATGAAAGCTGTTGCAGCATCTTTTTGAGTTCCTGTCCCTTGCTTCGCTCATCATAAGAGCAAAGCCTTGATCTGCCAAGAGGAAAGAAAGAAATCCCCGAGAATCCATTTTGTCAAAACTACTAGACAATTATGTTAGCTTTAAAAATTAAAATACATATTCTTTTGCATATAAATAGAAAAAAATGGAAAGAATGTACAGTAACCTGTGAACAGTGGTGTTCTAATTAGGAGTACAGGAGGAAGGAGAAAGAGAAAAAACATTCACTACATTTTTGTTTTACTTGAATTTTTGAATTTTTACTTGAATTCTATAATACCTTTGTACTTAGAAGAAAGCAATAAAGGTATTCCCCATTTAAAAAAAAAAAAAGGCTGAGCAGGTTCATTTTTGCTTCTTACTTTGCCAACAGACAATAAGATCATTCTGAAATTGCAATCTGTGATGATACAGTTGTGTTGGGAGTGAGTGCACACACTTGCACTTCTCATAATGATAAAGGATGCATGCACATGAAGAGCTCAGGGACGGCAGTGCCACTGAGGGCTTTTGCCTTCTGTCTGGAAGACCCTGAAATGTAAATGCTTCATCTGCACGCCCCTCGTTGCGCAGAAGAAACAGCCAACGCCTCCTCTCCCACTCCCAGCTGCACAGCAGTACCTTTGCGCCGCAGGGAACAGGCTCCCTTTCAGGGTGTGCCAGGAACTTCACTGAGAAGGCAGTGTGTTGTGCCTGCCTACCAGCAACGCATAACTAGCAAAAATAAAAACGTAACAAAAATGACTGATAAGGATGTGGATGCACACACATTCCACTAACCAAGCCAACAAAAATGTACGTGGAAATAAACTTAAAACAAGGAAATGGAAAAGTCAATGAGATAGTGGGCATTACTAAAGTAACTGAAAATAGACGGGGCTGATCTAAAGGTGCTCTGTGTGAAGGGGGATGGCAAAAGAGGATGGAAAGTGGGGACAGAATTTCTTCCTCCTTATTTCTTGCCCTAAAATCATGGCTTGGAAATATAATAACTCTCCAAAAAAGAGTTGGTATTTTCAGTTTTGCCTTGGAAATGCAGAGAGCTGAAGAGAGCTTGCCGCCACATTTAACGAGAAAAACTGAGACAAAAATTGACACCTTTTCCTGAACCCTTGAGAAAACTGAGGTCACATCCAACCTAAAATCTAGGAAGAGACAGTCATCTGCAGGGAGAAACAAAGCCAAGTGTTTGTTTACCACAGGCAAACACTACCAACTACCAAATACACTGATAGGAAGGTTTCATGGAAGTTTAAAGAATTAATAAAGATGGCATGTGGGCTGGTGAGAGAGGGTGAAGCGCCTGGGAGCCAAGGACCTAGGGTTCAAAACCTCTTGCAGGTATTACTCTACAAACCCTTTCCCTCACATCACAGTGACAAGCACTAAGAAAATAACAGTAGAATGCAGCTAAAGGAAGTGCATGCAACAGATTCTCTCTAGGAAGCAGACACTGAGAAAAATCCTCTGGCAAA